GAGAGAGGGGGAGGGAGGGGGGGAGGAGAGGGAGGAGAGGGAAAAGAAGGAAAGGAGGGAGGAAGGGAAGGGTGAGAAGAAGGAAAGGAAGAAGAAAGGAAGGAAATGCAAGAGAGAGGGAGGGAGGAGGAAGGAAGGAGAGGGAGAGAGAGGGAGGGAGGGAGGAGATGGAGGAGATGGAAAAGAAGGAAAGGAGGGAGGAAGGGAAGGGTGAGAAGAAGGAAAGGAAGAAGAAAGGAAGGAAAAGCAAGAAAGGAAGGAGTGAAAGTGAGAGGAAGGAAGGGAGTGAGCAAAAGGAGGGAGGGGAAGGGAGGGAGGGTGAGAGAGAGGGAGGAAGGAGGAAGTGAAAGTGAGAGGGAGGGAGGAAGGGTGAGAAGGAGGGAGGGAGGGAAGGAAGGAGGGGAGGGAGGAGAGAGAAAGGGAGGAAACAGTTTGAAGGGTCCTTGGGTGATCCTGGTAACTGATGCTTCTGGTGTATTTCACAGCCCGGACCTCCAAGCTCAGCCCCCGCCTCCCCTCCCCACCCCCGCTGATTCTGCTCCCTCTCCCCTTGCAGGAGTCAAGACAGTCCTTTGGCTCCAGTCGCTGCTGAAGGTCTGAGCAGGGCTGCCCCCCAGAACTGTTCTGTGGCAACAGTTGCATAATTATAAACAAAATGGAGGGTGCACCTTCCCCCCTCCCCCAGTACTAATAAGGGAATTGCAGCCTCCGAACAAGGTCAGACCCCCAGGCGTCTGGTAACCCTAAGCCCAGGGCGGCCCTAATAAGGGGGTTGCAACATAGTAACCAGCTGAGGAACCCCAACGTTCCATCTGCAATCAGGGACACGCCCCCCATTGTCTCAACATTCCGCCTCCTTAACAAGGGGCTTCCCCCCTCTGTTGCCCTCCTGAAGGGGCTGTTTTGCCTAAGCATAGAGATAACCCCAGATACACCCACAAAGACCTGCCCAGTTTCCCCAAAAATGGCCAGCCAATCAGATCCCTGGGATGTCCCACCTTGTAGACCTCAACTTGTATAAAATCTTTGCTTTCCCATTGTTCGGGGTCCCTCTTTGTTGTAAAAGCTTAGCCCCTATCCTGGTGTCCTCCATCCAGCAGGCACAGCCTTAAAATCGAATATTGTCTAGCTTTTTGAGTGTCTTGTTTTTCTTTCTGGACTGTTTTCACAACTTTCAAACTTCTATGTATCGTGACCTTGTAAACTGTCTGCTTCTTCCTTTCTCTCGTCCGTCAACAGACTCAGCAGCCTGGATTTACGTTACTTCATTTATTTCCTGATTCCAGTCACGGTCTTCAATCCAGCCCCTTCAAATCTACAATTTCTGGAGATCTCATGACTCGTCCTGCGTCTCTCGGGTGAAATTTGAAAAGCGCGTCGTCGATTCTATATTGCCGCTAGCCGTTTTCCTTTCTGTTAATAATAATTAGTATTTTTATACTGCCCTTTGAGTAAAAATGACTTCAGTTAAGAGAAAATGTAAATTTTCAGACAGTATGAAGAGTAAGTACCCCTGTTTCGTTCAAGGACGCAATGAAAACGAAGCAAAGTGTTTGGTTTGTGACAGCTACCTGTCCATTGCTAATAAGGGGTCTGCCGATTTGAGGCGTCACGTTGACACGGAGAAGCACATGGTGAGGGGTTCAGCTTCATCAAGCAAAATAGCATCATTTTTTCAGCCGAAACACTCAGCTGTATTTAAAAAAGTCCTCGCTGCCGAAGCAACGTTAGCATTTCATACAGTTACGCATCTTCCATCCTACGAATCACTGGAGTGCGCCACTAGTTGGACGTGCGCGTTGTTGGGTGACGCAGAAACAGCAAAAGATAGACCATGCGCTAGAACCAAAATGGAGGCCATTATAAACCATGTCATTGCACCCCATACCATTTCCGAACTCCTAAAGGATTTAAGGGACATGACGTGCTTCGGAATTTCAACGGATGCCAGCAACCACGGAGCCCAGAAGATTTTCCCACTCGTCCTCCAGTACTTCGACTGGAAAGCCGGTGGAATCCAGACGAAAGTTCTCGAGCTCGACACGATCTCGCATGAAACGCCTGCAACGATATCACAGTACCTCTGGCAAACATTGGCGGGATATGAACTGTCCTCAAAATGTGTTGCATTCGCGGGGGACACTGTGAACGTGAACTTTGGAGGGGTCAGTAGGAAAGATGGTAAAAACGTGTTTTCATGCTTGAAGGAAAATCTTAACCAGCCTATCGTTGCTGTCGGGTGCCCGGTTCGTGTCCTCCACAACTGCATTCAACACGGTGCTGATTTGTTGAAAGTCGATGTGGAGGCCGTCGTCTTGAAGATCTTCAATTACTTTTCTGTATATACGGTTCGGACCGAGAGTTTGAAAGACTTTTGCGAATATATAGACATTAACTATCATGAATTATTATCTCACACTAAAACGAGATGGCTTAGTCTGTTTCCAGCCATAGAGGCATTGTTGGAGGTCTTCCCAGCCCTGCAGGACTATTTTCGGTCTGTAACCCAGCCACCAGTGACGATCCAGAATTTTTTCGAGAACGACTTTGCAGACGTTTATGTTTGGTTTCTGCACTCGTTGATGTCTGTCTTCCAGGGTAAAATTGCAGTGATGGAAAGGGAAGCATTGTCAGTCATAGAGGTGGTGAATCTCCTCCAGTCAACGGTTGAAGTTCTGAAAGGCAGATTGAGTGAGACGTTTATGTCTCTGAAAGTTAGAGAACTTGTGAAAAAACTGCACGATCAAGGTCTGGAGAAAGAGTGTGAATATTTCACCGCAGAGATTAAGTTGGTGTATGAAGAGTGCATTAAGTATTTGGAAAGGTGGTTAAAACCTTTAGATGAATTTCACTGTTTTTCCTGGATGTGTTTGGACGCAAGGAAGAACATCTCATTTGACGAGCTGTTACCGTGCATCCTGTATCTGAAGGAAATGGGTATTACTGTGGATGACGTCCAATTATTCGACCAGTACTGCCGTCTTAAAATATTTGTAAAGGAGCAGCAAGACCCCTTCTTTGAAGATCCCTTGCATGTACAGTGGTGCTCTTACTTCAGAAGCTGCAAAAATGCAAGTTGTTTCTCAGAGTTGCTCAAAATTTGTGAATTTTTCTTCTGCGTTCCTGGACACAACGCTAATGTCGAGAGGGTATTCTCTCTGATAAATGCACAATGGACAAAGGAAAGAAACCAGCTATCCATGGGTTCTGTTAAAGGAAATGTTCTGACCAAATACAACATGAAAAATGTTACCTGCGAGGAGTTCTACGCATATGTTCTTGGAAATGAAGATTTGTTGGACAAGGTTGGGTCTTTTGAAAAATATTAAGTTCCATGCGTATGTTCTTGAATAGAAAGATTTGTTGGACAAGGTTGAATCTTTTGAAAAATATTAAGTTCCATGCGTATGTTCTTGAATAGAAAGATTTGTTGGACAAGGTTGAATCTTTTGAAAAATATTAAGTTCCATGCGTATGTTCTTGAATAGAAAGATTTGTTGGACAAGGTTGAATCTTTTGAAAAATATTAAGTTCCATGCGTATGTTCTTGAATAGAAAGATTTGTTGGACAAGGTTGAATCTTTTGAAAAATATTAAGTTCCATGCGTATGTTCTTGAATAGAAAGATTTGTTGGACAAGGTTGGATCTTTTGAAAAATATTAAGTTCCATGCGAATGTTCTTGAATAGAAAGCTTGTTGGACAAGGTTGGATCTTTTGAAAAATATTAATTTCCATGCGTATGTTCTTGAATAGAAAGATTTGTTGGACAAGGTTGGATCTTCTGAAAAATATTAATTTCCATATTTATATTCTTGAAGAGCAAGATTTGCTGGACAAAGTTGGATCTTCTGACAAATATTAATTTCCATGCATATGTTCTTGAAAAGAAAGATTTGTTGGAAAAATATTGCGAGTGAAAACCAGTCTTTCTGATGCTAGAAAAAGTAATTGCATATACATGTAGATCTTATGTAGATCTAAGTTCATTATTTTGCAGTTTTTCACTGTAATTTTTGTCACAGACGCCAAAAAAGTTTGTGTGTTCTCCTTTTCTCCCCCTTTGTCCTCCTTGACTGTTCAGATATCTGGTCACCCTATTGCCAGGGGACTCTCTTTTGGCAAGACAGAGTTTAAAAAAAAAAAGTTTGCTCATTTTATTTTTAATCCAGTATTTTAGACAACAAAATGTTTTCCAAAGCAAGCAGGGGTCTTCAGATTCATCTCAGCTTTCATTTTAAGATAGGTTTAGTCAGATTCCTTAATGGGTAATCTATAGAGGTATATCACTTGATCTATCAATTATAGATTTATATGTAGAATTGTGTAGAATTCCTTATTAGGGTCATTGACCAACAATAGAAACCAATAAAGCACATAAGGTAGACAGTAGAGCAGTAAGACGACTTTTATTTGTATATTTGGGTCTTTCAGTCAGTCTTGACTCCTGGCCCAAAGTCACCTATAAGGTAAGATTAGCAGATGACACATATTCTGACATTAACTCATTATTAGCCTTTGCTGAATTTTACAAACTATAAGGCTAAAGTTTGCAATGTTTAGGTATTGAGTAAGCTGTGCCTACATTAACAGTGATTCAGAGGATTGGCTTTGGACCATGCTTAAGGACAAACAACATCTCTCTCCACTATTCCTTACATCAGACCTCTTTTTCAGCCCTCTATGTCAGCCTGAAAGGAAAAAAAGAAAAGATGTGTCTGCTGTAAGAGTCACATGACTTGGTCCATTAAAGCAGCCGTAGCTTTTTTCAGGTTCATATAGAAGACTGTGTCCACCGTTCCCAATAAAAGCTGGCTGTTTGGAAGGATAGCAGAGGTGCTATGCTTATGGCTACGTGAGGTGCAAAGCCCTTGCTCTGAATCGTTTTCAATAGCTCTAATATTAACCTGTGTCTCCATTCCTTCCCATTCCTTCCTATTTCTCCTAACATTGATTAATATCTAAATCTGTGTCCTGGGATGCATTTTCTCAAAATCTGGCATTAGACACAGCCTCCTTCAAATCAAGCTGGGTGCCTAGAAGCTTCATGGACATGTCCATGGAGTCCTCCTAGCATCCAGAAAGAAGTAGCTGGCCCTGCTTTCTTCCCAACTGTTTTTTGGCTTCTCCGGCTGGCCCTCATTCCTGGGATCTCCTTGTGGTCTCCCATCCAAGTTCTAACCAAGCCAAATCTGGCCTACCTTCTGATCCCAGACAAGATCAGCGATGTGCTGCCAGCTGCTCAGATGTCCTTAAACGTAATTTGCTTTTGGTGCCAGCTCCAGAGATACATCCAGGAGTTACAGAGCAGGTAAGTTTTCACTGGATTTCTCCAGGACATACTTTTTTCCAAGCTTCCTGTGTTGGGAGCATTTTGAGTTAGACGTGTTCAATATCTTCACAGTCAGTTTGATCCAAAGCCCATCTATCACTTCCTTTAAGTTCCAATTATTATTATTATTTGTCCTTTTTGAGACCATAAAAATACTTTTTAACCACACTCAGAGCAGCACTGAGTGTGTCTTTGGCTGGCCTTCCAGGGGTGGAGGTTTTCATAGGATGAGTCAGGAAAAAGAGGTAAATGACCCCAAACCACTAACCAAATAAATCAATAAATCCCCAGCCTGGCTGGGGAATTCTGGGAGTTGAAGTCCACTCATCTTAAGCTGCCTGAGGTTGAGAAACACTGAACTACATAGCAAAAGCTTGCACCCTCTGATTTCTCATGGAGGAGAGGAAGGAGGGCAAGAGAGGGCAGAGCACAGCGACATGGAGAACAAATCCGTGTCTCACAGCAAGAACATTGCCGAAATAATCTGAACGTTTGTCAGATTTAACGTTAAACTGTCTTAAATGTGCTAGATTCCATGCAAGATACTGAAAGCAAAGAATATTTGCCAGATGCAAAGTTGCATCTCAAGGCCTTCCTTGAAGAAAAGATCTCAGCTGGATGGCGATATAGGTTTGCCTGCCCACTGAACTTCCTTATTTCTAATCTGGGCAGTTTCCTGATGGATTTCAATTCCCAGAATTCTCAGCCATCACCAGGCTGGCTGGGGAATTCTGGAAGTTGAAGGCCCCATATGTGGAAGTTGCTCAGGTTGTGAAATTCTCCCTAGAGTATCCATGCTTTGTGAAATAAAGAGGCCCTTTTTAGAGAGAGGATTAAGATGGGGACAAACATCCCGCCTTGAGAAAATGGGGAAGGAAGATGGGTTTTGTGTTCCTTCCTCCTCTGTACCCCATTCCCTCTTCCCCTCCTGTCCCTAAGGATCCCCCAACTCACCAGTACCGGAGCAACATTTTCATAAGCCCAAGAAGCAACAGGAATTTATTGATAGCATTTCTGTTTTACTTTTTAATCCAGCCAACAACTGGAATTCTCCAGGCAGATCACAAAATGATTTAGACCACTGAAAAACAAACCTTGTGAAGCCCTAACAAGGAAGCAGATGGCTAAATAGCACAGAGAAGATTGGAGAATAAAGATATTTAAAAGCCACAGGAGCAGGATAATGACTATCAAAATGAATTATAAAGATGGTTGGGAGAAGAGTTTTCCCTTGTCTCGTAAAATGCCAACACACGTGCAGATGTTGAGCAGAGCACGCTGCAGAACTCACAGCTGAGAAGAGCCTTTTCTCTGTAACCACCCATTCAACCGGAGCTGGCAGGGACACCCAGAGAATTGCCCGAAAGGGTGACTTCAGTTTTTTGAAAACTAAAAAATAAACTTGAGCTTGACTCTTCAAAAATAGCATTGTCTTGTGCCAGAATGTTTTTGCTTGTCTGCAGCTGTGGGATCCCCTGGTGGTCTCCCCTCCAAATCTAGGATTTTATTCATTCAGCACTTCAATCTAACCAGATCTGACAGTAAGCGTTCATCACTGCATTTTTTTAGATTCAGCCGAGGTTGGCTAGGTGCTATCACCAAGCAATGTGCAAAAGGGCATTATTTCCTTCTGGAATGTCTGGGGTCCCCCCCCCCCAATGGAAAGTACATGCTAGGGGCAATTCTGCTTCTAGAAATGAATCTTCCAAAACAGGAAGTGGTTCCTGGTGGGCTTTATTTTATTTATTTGTTTGTTCAATTTATATGGCCAGCCACTTGCCCACTCACTAAGGAACCTTTTAGGATTTTAATGTATTCAATGTGCCAGCCATAGAAGTATTGACTGGATTATACTACAGTGTTTTTATATGCTGCTTTGTCTTCCTAACCATTTCTGGAATTCATAGAGAGCAGCCAGACCAAGTTCCATTGAAATTAATTACTGGAATTAATGATTATAACTACATGCCTCAATAATTCCAGAGATAGCTTGCCCGAATCACTTAATTAACCGAGCACAATAGAAAACTGAAGCAGTTTTTCATGAAAACGGCTGATCTGGAGGAAAGCAACAGCTTCTTGAATAGTTTCAAAATACCAATGCCAGTTGCTTTGATCGAATTCAATTTGCTCTCCGCAGCTGGAGTGCCTTTTCAAATGGCAAAAAAAGTGGGGAGGGGGAGTTACGCTCCTTATTAACTTTAAAGAGGACACTACATTTTAAGCTCAAATGAGAAACCCTGAACATTTTTTGTGGGTTGGGGGGCGGGGGAGAGACAATTTCCCAGGGAACCCCGGCATGCTCCAAGAATGGGTCATGAAAAGAGTGATCCATTCGTTTCATTTAGCATCGTGAAATCACAGAGCATAAGAACATGAGCATAAAAAGAAAGCAGACACCTGAGATCATCTCATCCAATGTGTCTCAGCCTTAGCAACTTTAAGATGTGTGGCCTTCGACTCCCAGAATTCCCCAGCCAGCATGGGTGGACTTCAACTCCCAGAATCCCCCAGCCAGCATGAGTGGACTTCAACTCCCAGAATCCCCCAGCCAGCATGAGTGGACTTCAACTCCCAGAATTCC